CAATAAATGGCGACATTTGTGTGTCGGTAGGGAATGGTAGGCCACCGAAATCAAGTTCCTCCTGACAGTAGTTAATAAAATAGTCGCCAAAGTCGGAGCCCCTATACATATAACAACTAAAGTCAAAGTCTATGATAAATATATCCGAATCCCCGATAGGATTGCCACCAGTTTTTCGGACTAATATATTGCGGCGGTTGAAGTCGTTGTGCGAGAATACTATCGGACTGTTCACGTCAACCACGGCTTTCCTAACCCATGCGATCTCAGCGATCAGATCCGTGTCCATCAGTGTCTGGTAATTATTCTTCCGGATCTCCTGATACACCACTCCCTGTCTGTACGAGTCTACATGTGTTTCATCAAACCAGTCCTCTAATATCATTTTTAGCGTAAATTCTGTCCTATCCTTAGGAACCGGCATGTCCATTGACTGAAATTTTGCCAACTTTTGGGCTAATAGTGCCACCGCTCCGGGGTTCAGGTCGTAGTCACCAGTGAAATACACGCCCTATGTTTTAATCATATGTTAAGTATGCATAAAGTAGTTAATCATATATATACAGTATTTCATACATCAATATATTCACTGATTTGTCCTTTATCAAACACACTGAGCAATTTGGGTGCTAATTGTCTTTCAGATAATACCAAACCCATAGTCAATATATGAATGGGTTTACAGTATTTAAAGAATGCCATTTCGGCCGTTCCGTCCTGATATCTAACGGCAACCCTATTATACTTGGTTTTCATGTGCTCGGGTAGGTCACAATAAAATAGTTGGTTAACAAATCCACCCCTAATCCATGTATTTTATCCACGATTATATAATAAAATATTTTTATTTAAATTATGAAGTGACTTACGTTGAGGTCCTGATAATAAGTTGATCGGCACTCACTTCAGCCCATTGACCGCCTAATTGTGTTTTACATAACTCGTGTAATTTGTGTCTATCGGCTGTTGACACACTGTTTTCCATAATTTATTAGTTTTTTAATTTTAATTTATTTTTCACAATCATAAACGGTAACTAATATACTATTATCATAAATATAGTTTATGTCATTTATATAGTCTACAATATTGGTATCAGCTGCAGTTTTGAGACCCTGAATATTACATACAATCAATATTGATAAGTACTTTAAGTTGTCAAATATTTAATTAAATTATGTAATAATTTAGACGATTAATTCATTATATTGGTAAATGTTTTTATGATACGTGGTATAAACAATGCCACGTTAGTTTTAGATTACTTTACATATCATGAATTGTAATATTGGATTATTTAATTTATAATTTTTTATCAAAAATTCTAGATAAATATAATAAAAATAAATTTAGATTCTAAATAACTCTAAACTTTAATACACTATTAACATTCAATTTTAAAAATTAAATTTAAATTATCTATAGTT